GAGAGAGAGAGAGAGAGAGAGAGAGAGAGAGAGAGAGAGAGAGAGATTGTAACTTCAGAAAATGACTGAACTCAAGATCCATCTGTGAACAGACAGAGGTAGAGTACATCACAACCCTTTCGTCTCTTCACAAACTATTTATTCCGTTCAAATCTCTTCGTTTGTTTTGTCGTAGGAACAGTTCATCGCTAGGAGGAAGTAAAGTGAACTACACATAGCATTGTGCTATCCGTCTCTCTGCTTGACATTCTGAACGCACTATTTTTGTAACATTATTACCGATTTGCATCAGTGGACTTATGTAAATGAGCCATTTTGACTGATTTCAGACAATAATGTCAATTAACATCAGACGTTTATATTTAAATTATATAGATAATGTGTTTCCCTTCCGTTCTTTGTCAACCCTATGCAGATCATTTTTCTAGTATGAATATAATAGCTCAATGTATCTCACGAATGGATCATAATGCATATAAGCTGATATTATAAGCTTATATTGGCAGGCCTGAATTATTTAATATTATTAATATGCCTTCTGCACACCGGCACTGCAATGTAAACGTGTCTGCAGCTTCTCACTGTGAATTACATTTGTCATTTCGCTCATCATTAGGGGAGAATCTTGACAGAGCCCTTCATTTTGCTGAAAGGAAAGCCGGTGGTCTCTGAGACTGAGAGGTGTTGTGTGCCCTTATTTGACTGTCAAATGCACAGATACGACATGTTGACAGAAAGCAGGTAACATCATTTGCTTCCATTTGCTTCTAATAGTTTGCATGCGTGTTTCATGGTGCATTTATGTAACACACATGTCCTGCAGACATCCATGATGCTGCTGTTGACAGTGTATGCAGATTTAGTGTAGTACTTCATGTCTGCTGGCTATTTTTAGATGTTCTTTTAGAAGGCTGATCCTCTAGACTAGCAACTATATCGGTTAAATGAGTCTGTGCTGTTATCCAGCATCAAGCTTTGACAGCTCTTGAGCTGATGACATTTTTATTCTTAAATCTGAGTCATAATCCTGCAGTGGACATATTGGTGACTAACGGTTGCAATCAAGTCTGCACTGCCCCATTGCTTAGGGAATGGTGATACTTACTACTTAGAAAGATATGCGTCTAGAATGTTCAGAATTGGCTCAAAAAGACCTGGTTGTTTAGTAATAATAAGACTATTACAAATGATTCTATGCATGTTGAACAGAGTAGTCAAAGGCGATGATCTCTGTCAACAGAAAACGCAGACGCAGCTGTGATGCTGAGGAGCTTCAGGTCTTGCCCCAGGCAAAGAGGTGTGGAGGTTATTCCTTTCTCCCCGAGGTTGGCAGTGATGTCTGGGACTCTGAGGTAAGAAGGCACGACAGTTGGCCAGGAACTTTCTTTCATTCAAGAATGGTAAACTGAGACTGATGATGTTCATTCTAGAATATATTTCGTAAAGGGACACACTAGAGAAAGTGCTGAAGTATAGTGTTAAGGCTGTATCCCACAGACCAAATCATCCACTTGACCTTCCATGAATGAACTGAAATTTCAGATGCTATTTTTCTTTTCTTTTCTTTTTTATTTGTTCTGACTACCAAATTGTAAGACATTTTAAAAATGTTATAGTCAGTTCATACTTCACAAAATTTCGTAAGTAGGACACTATTAGTGTTTAAAGTCTTTTATGTTCACCTAGGCTGCATTTATTTGATGAAAAATACAGTAAAAACAGTAATATTGTGAATTATTATTATTGCAATTTAAAACAACTGTTTTCTAATTGAATATATTTTAAAAAGTAATTTATTCCTGTGATGGCAAAGCTGAATTTTCAGCAACCTGTTGTAAACTCAGAATTCAGAGAAAAAAAGACAGAATTATGCGATGTAAACTCAGAATTACAAGTTTATAACTTGGAATTTCGAGATATAAACTTGCAGTTGCAAGAAAAACAGTTAGAATTGTGAGATTGCAAAAAGTTGCAGTTGCCTGTATTTTTTTTATTCCGTGGCAGAAACGAGCCACGTTTCTTTAAAAAAAAAAAAATAATGAAAAGAAAGATTGCAAGATTTAGGTGTAAGCAGTTGGTTAATTTTATGGATTGAACATTTTTTAAGAAATAGACCCCAACGAGTCAATGGAATCTCATCTGATTATACAGTCCTGAATTCAGGGTTACCACAAGGATGTGTGTTATCACCTCTGCTTTTTTCTGTCTATATTAATGAACTTCAATGTAACCGGGATGATCTCACCCTGATCAAATATGCTGATGATTTGGTTTTAATTTCTTGCCAATTGGACATGACTAGTTTAACTTATTTTGAGTATATTGAAAGTCTTGCTCAGTGGTTTGATGATAGTCACTTACAATTGAATATTGAGAAGACAAAGGAACTATGCTGTGGGAACAAAAATAGGATCGGTACGGCTGGTGTCTCATATGAACAAATTACTATAAAAGGTGTAAAGGTAGAGCAAGTTTCACATTTTAAATATTTAGGTACAATCATTGATGACAAACTCTCGTCTGAATACTTTCCGTACCCACTGTATATAAAAGATCATTTGTACCATTGGCGGTGACTTGTTTTAAACCAAATTCTTAATTGAGGTATTATCATGAGGTATCTTTCTGGGTAGGTGTGTGTACACATGTGTATGCATATGTGTGGGCATACATATATATATTGTATTAATTAAAAAAAAAAATGTTATGTGATATGTGAATGTATAGTATTATCTGTTAGGATGTATTTTCTATGCCAGTGTCAAAGATGAATTTCTGTTCAGGAAATCTGGACAGACAATAAAGCTAAATTAAACTAAACTATAATAATGATAAAATAAAAAAATGACTGACCCCAAACTTCTGAACGGTAGTATATTAACTAGTAAACCCAAATAAAACTTTAATCAGAAGTGGTAAAGCACAGAAACCACCTCCCTCCACCCCTCTATTCTTATTCTCAATTCCTTGTCACCCAACAGTCTTCCAGCAGTGACAGCAGTGGGATCAGCAGCCCGGAGCGGATGGCAGGAGCCAGTTCCAACATCCAGAACACTTACCAAAGAGGACTCCATGTATCCCAGGCTCCCTGCAGCCCCATTGCCCCCACCATCTCAGCAGAAGAGCCGGCCGTCTCCTTGAGCCACAACGTCTCATACGATCACATCAACCGTATCTTAAGGGAGGCCCACTTCAGTAGCTTGCAAACTCATGGTCAACAAGGGCAGACGTGACTCTTCCAGCACCCATTGGCATTAAGGAACAATGTACAGGGGACCTTTTAGAGGGCCATTATGGGCCATTTGAAGGCCTAGCACAAATATAGGCCCTCTAAATGCATTTGTCTTCTTTCTTATAGCACTTTTTCATGTTCATAGTGTTTATGTGGGGCTCTACTTGATGTGTTGACCATGAACTTCACATAGGTGCTACATAAAAGAAATATCTTGAAAATTGTCACGTTCTTGCAAGATTATGTAAGCTTTTGCCCTTTACTAGACAGTCACACATGGTGCTACTGCAGTTCTGGGTCACGTTTTATTCAGACACATGCATTTGGCCAATTCTGACACTCTTTGTCCGGTCTAGAAAAGGAAAAGAAATCAAATAATTTCCTGTATTTAAGAGCTGAAGTCTAGAAACCATGCGATTATAATGCAGCCCTGCTTTGGAGTCATTCCATGACGATTAATAATGCTGTTGACGTGTGAACAGAAGATTCCGGTTTGGTTCTGACTGGAATTTAGACTCTTTCAGGAAGTTTTTGGGGCTTGATGATTGCTTGCATATCCAAAACTCAGGTCTAGAGGATTTCTCTCTGCATGCCATGAAGGTTCAGACTTTAAAGATGGAACTTGGTGCCAGATCCTTAGAATTTTTATATCACATAGTCTCTCTTTAACTTTACCTTAGAAAAAACACATATTATCAGAGAGACTATTCTGAAAATGCATGCTGGACTCAGGTCTGTTAATGTGCATAATGAAGCACTCTTTGTCTATGAATTTAAAGGTGTAAACCAATGAATCATTGTGCAAATCCAGTAACTGCAAATTGAAAGCCATGTCTGATATTCACACAAGAATTTCCTGGTTTCATTTTGCAATAATCAGAGCTGGAAATAAACTAGTTTAGATCAGTCACTGCACTCCCTGTAATACGAGGATTCGTCTTCTATGGGCAGACCAGGAATGACCTAAAATTAGCTTGCACCTAACTAAGCACTCTAACAGTATCACGTCACTGCAAGATACTAAATATTTTACCATAAAATATCAATACAACCCATTTATGCCTGTGTTTGACCAATATACATGATTCTTTTCACATGGTGTAGTGCTCCTAAATTTAGTATAGTTCAGTTCATTTTAGACATACATCCTCAACAAAATTTTGAAGCTTAGTCCAAACAGATTGTATGAGGACAGTTACATCATTTCAAGCAGGTGATCTAATTGTGTACGAGATACTGATGTACTTTAAACTACTCCGTGCACAATACTGTACATCCCAGGCACTATATGCTTTGTGTGAAAGACCATTGGCTTCTGATGATGAAAATCGTCCCTGCGGTCACCATTGTTTTGTATGTAGGACTGTATATAATATATAGCTAGCATATATACAATATTTGAAATCATTGTTATTTTATTAAATGTTCTGCTGATGTAAATAAAAATGCTTTTTTTAAAAAAAATATATGTATTCATTTTTTTTCTGTTTCAGGCTCTGAATGGACATGAGGCCATTTTCGTATTCAAACCTGCCTTTTAAGTTTAAATACTGCAACACTTTCACACAAGACAGTTCTTTATATAGTTGCACATAAGTTTTGGCAGGATGTATTCGGATTAAACTCAGTATGGGTGTTAATGTTTGTTCTTACTTTATAAATACACACAGGAAGACATAATTGCTTTAAGTAAGAGGAAAGATTGTAGTGCAAGTAGTAGCAACCATTGCAGTGACACTTGTGTTTAACACCACAACAGAAAAGCATCCTGAGTTGTTTCTCAAATGTATCTCAGTGAATTCAGAATGATTTGAAGAGATGTTCCATTACTGATGATGATCAAGACTTGACTTATTCCCAGTCTGAACGCTTAATGTGAACCACTAGCAGCATTTAGACAGTGAGTAAAGAGTATGTTGCAGTTGCAATTGCAGGTGGATGTTACCTCCATAAATACTGTGACCACATTTATATGAAAAATTATTTCTGATCAAAAATTCCTTTACAGCAATTGGAATATTACTGGATACATGTTGTCAGCATATAAACTGAGACATGCACGATTTTAGTCATTCTGAAGTTATTTTTCCCCAAATCAGCAAATAACCGTAAATGAATGTTGGCATCAGAGATTGAGGAAGGAGAAGGCAGACACTTGCTCACTAGATGTGAGAGAGCCTGCAGTTCTCTCACAGCTTTTCTCAATTGCACAGTCTGTGCCTGTAGTGGCTTCTACACTTATCTGGGCGCCTGACTCGACAGGAACAGGCTCGACCAAACATACAGGTTTGCTTCTGTTGACTAACTCCATTCCACTGAAGAGTGACAGTCTGGGTGGTTCTGAGATTTTAGAGGTTTCCGTGTTCCTGTACTCTCCATCTTTTTGTTTTCTTTTCATATGAGACCCAGGTGCAGTGCTGTTACCCTGCAGGTGATGTGTAGATGGGGTCTCCTCTGATGGGATAACAGAGGTTAAGTTGTCTCCTAGTTGTCCCGGAACAAAGGGGACGGTTATAGATTCAGAGGGTTGATCTGAAAACGAAGAGCTGGCAGAGGTTGGACATCCAGCACGGTCACATTTGGAATTTGTGACACAACCAAGCAAGGCCTCAAACTGCCTTAAGAGCTAATTAAACAAAAATAATCTGTTAGTCCTACATAATTACAAAGATAATACCACTACAATGGAAAAACTTGGTGTAGAAACAGTTTTTGCTAGCAATGTTTGTTTAGAAATTGCTAGTAAATTTCACAATTAGTCACAAAATGGAATTGAAGTACAGGTGAAATTTAAAAGTAGAAAGACTGAAACTGTATTTTCCTGTACAACATACAGTACTCCCAATAATCTATATTTTGATAGATTCCAATAATTTTATTTTGAAAAGCTTTGGCAATTGTGTAGGGCAATTGTTACCTTGGTTGCCTTGTTGGCGACAGGGCCTGCGGTTCCTTCACTAAGTTGTGCAAGGTGTTTATGTATGATATTGTAAATATGGTCTAGAGACAGGAAATCTGAAGAAATCAGGCAGGCCAGAGCACACAACGCCCTCTGGAGGAAGGAAATACAAATTGGTTATGCGGTATGTTATCAATATAAATTGCTCATACAAGTTAAATTAAAAAAATTAAGGATGTATTTATTTGAAATAACTTCTAAGTGTAACAGAATAGGAGACTTTACCATCTGGACGATTTGTGTGTGGTCCTGGAGTTTGCGAGACAAAAGTTCAACGACCACCTCACAGTTGAGAGTGGAGCATCTGAAAGAAAATAGAGGATCAAGACGTAAACAATTTTAGCTATGACACTGCATGCACTGACATTACAACCCAAGAGTGTACTGTACATCAGTATTTGGCTACACTGATGCCAAAATCATGCACATGTCTCATAATGAATCATTTACTCTTTGATGAAGTGCTGGCTCTCTTCTCTGGACAGGAAGACTTTGGAACCGCTGGTCAGTCTGTTGATAAGCGCCGTCTCCTGACCACAGTCCCCCAACTGAATGGCTTCCACACTGATTCAAATGAACACAAATATAACAAAATAACAATGTGAATCTCACACAACCTAAAAAGAATCAAATTAAAAAGAAGAATAATTATTATTTTGTTTTGTGAAAATTAAGCCTATATTAAAATCGCATTCTCATTACAAAATATTTGTGGTTTTAAAGAAATGAATGTTTATTCAAAAAGGACACAATAAATTGATCAAAAGTGACAGTAATGACATTTTTGTTACAAAACATTCTATTTCAAATAAATACTGTTCTTTTGAATACTCAGTTTTAAATTTTAAACAGCACAACCATTTTCAACATTGATAACAATAATACATGTTTCTTGAACACCAAATAAGCACATTAGAATGATTTCTGAAGGATCATGTAACACTTAAGACTGAAGTAACGACTGCTGAAAATTCAGCTTTGCCATCACAGGAATAAATTACATTTTAAGATATAATAAACAGAAAACAGTTATTTTGATCAAATAAATGCAGCCTTGGTGAGCATAATAGATTTCTTTCAAAAACATAAAAAATACCCAAATACTTACACATATAACCATAATAATATTTGTTTGCCCATATATTTTATTTGCTATTATTTGCCCATAATGTATGCTGATTTATTTAAAAAAAAATTATAAATAATATTTTTTATTGTAATACAGTTAATAAATTACTGATTAACAGTAATGATAATCTGAGGGTCACTGAAAATGAGAAATGCTAAAAAAAAAAAAACATTCAAAATTCAATATGATAAAGAGAGTTTTTGCTTAATTTAACTCATAATTTAATGGTCCTAAAAATAAGCCTCTTTTATATAAAAAATATGATATAATGCAAAAATAATATTATTTTATTAATTTTATTAATACAATTTTTTTTAATAAATATTATTTCTTATATATTATATTTCTTGTGATTTTGTTGCAAATTATGACAAATGACATGGGATGCTGTTGTTTTAATACTGGAAATAAGACGCCAGAATTAAATTTCCCCTTAGCTATGCAATGACCTGGCGTTAATGACCTCAAACACTTGAGAAAGCAATGTGTGCAGCCCTGTAGCAGTCTGTCCCTTACCGCTCTGATAGGTCACCGCTCTCCGGACTCGCCCCGGAGTGGCTGCCCGAGCCGCCCGACTTACTGCTTCCTCCCAGTGAGGTCTGGCTGGCTTCTGCAGTCTCCTGGGATGAGTTGTGTGAGGAGCTGTGCCCACTGTCCGTTTCCTCCCAGCCTCCACCAGCCTGCCCTGGGCATCTGTGAGATGCTGCGAGGAGGAGAAATGGTAATTTCTTTGACATTCTTAACATGCACTTGACCTGCTTTTAAAATCAGTGCATGGCTCACCTCTGTGGCAGTGAGACTGGATGTTGTAGGCACATGCTGGCTCTGCCATCTCCACAGTAGCAGAGGGTGCCACCACAGCGTGGTAGTGGTTATCATGGAGACGGATGCCACATTTTAAGATATAATAAACAGAAAACAGTTATTTTGATCAAATAAATGCAGCCTTGGTGAGCATAATAGATTTCTTTCAAAAACATAAAAAATACCCAAATACTTACACATATAACCATAATAATATTTGTTTGCCCATATATTTTATTTGCTATTATTTGCCCATAATGTATGCTGATTTATTTAAAAAAAAATTATAAATAATATTTTTTATTGTAATACAGTTAATAAATTACTGATTAACAGTAATGATAATCTGAGGGTCACTGAAAATGAGAAATGCTAAAAAAAAAAAAAAATTCAAAATTCAATATGATAAAGAGAGTTTTTGCTTAATTTAACTCATAATTTAATGGTCCTAAAAATAAGCCTCTTTTATATAAAAAATATGATATAATGCAAAAATAATATTATTTTATTAATTTTATTAATACAATTTTTTTTAATAAATATTATTTCTTATATATTATATTTCTTGTGATTTTGTTGCAAATTATGACAAATGACATGGGATGCTGTTGTTTTAATACTGGAAATAAGACGCCAGAATTAAATTTCCCCTTAGCTATGCAATGACCTGGCGTTAATGACCTCAAACACTTGAGAAAGCAATGTGTGCAGCCCTGTAGCAGTCTGTCCCTTACCGCTCTGATAGGTCACCGCTCTCCGGACTCGCCCCGGAGTGGCTGCCCGAGCTGCCCGACTTACTGCTTCCTCCCAATGAGGTCTGGCTGGCTTCCGCAGTCTCCTGGGATGAGTTGTGGGATGAGCTGTGCCCACTGTCCATTTCCTCCCAGCCTCCTCCAGCCTGCCCTGGGCACCTGTGAGATGCTGAGAGGAGGAGAGGAGGAGAAATGGTCATTTCTTTGACATTCTTAACATACACTTGACCTGCTTTTAAAATCAGTGCATGGCTCACCTCTGTGGCAGTGAGACTGGATGTTGTAGGCACATGCTGGCTCTGCCATCTCCACAGTAGCAGAGGGCGCCACCACAGCGTGGTAGTGGTTGTCATGGACACGAATGCCAGGATGCTCTGTCGGAGGAAGGACAGCGCTGGCAACCACTTCGGCAGCTTTCTGAATCTTGTCCAAAAGAGTCCCTCCACCTGAACGAGTGAGGCAAACATTGCGTGAAATAAGACAGGACACACACGAGCACCAACCTTCCAGTTGTAAAAATTAGTTTAGGTCAGGAGTAGGATGAATGATATTAAATGTCTGTGTCTTACTGGACTCTTTCCTTCCTGGGCTGTATCCGAACCCCTGCATGCCAGACCTGAGTGACTCTGAGCCCATTCCTGCAAACAAACATCTTGGTATACATCATACACATACTATAACACTTTACTACTTTAAAGGGGTCATATGATGCGATTTCAAGTTTTTCTTTCTCTTTGGAGTGTTACAAGCTGATTGTGCATAGATAAGATCCCTGAAGTTGCAA